TCCACGAAAGCTTATGCTCTAATAAATTTGTTAGTCTCTAAGGTGCCACAAGTACTCCTGTTCTTTTTGCGGATACTGACTAACATGGCTGCTACTCTGAAACCTAACTCTAGGTGCTGTCCCCACGCCTCTCCAATGTCTGATTTATGAGGTAGCAGGTCTAGCAGCTGCTGTAGATCAGACTTCCCTTGGGAGGGAAAAAAATTCAGTAGTCTCTAAAGGAAAGGTCTTATTTCACAGCTGATTGGATTGGTCTGTCAGTAACAGTGAGGAGAAAGTCCATTTGATTTGGAAATCCAGGCAGTTCGGCTGTATCCTGGGATAGCTGCCCTTTTAGGTTTGCACATCCCATAACACTACACAAACACAGAAGGTAAATCCCTGAGAAGTAAGTTCAGTAGCAACATACTAAAGAGACATTTGAATACTTATAAAGTGTAATCACAGCAAATAGATGAACAGAGCACATGATGATGCATCATTGTTGTTTTGCTTGCTTACTTCTAAATGTGCTATTCAGTAATTGTTCTTCCTATCCTTAGTACAAATTAAGGAGATTCTATACTTCTCATGTCTGTTAATGTGAAAGTGTGTTATGAATCTAAGGCTCAAATTATTTTGAGCCTTACCCAGAGCCACCATTTGTTTAAAAGTTCCTCAGAGAAGCTTAAAATTATCTTAACAGATTTCTCTATTAGACAAACCGATTATTTTCCTGATTTGAATTAACATAGCTATTTACGCAAGTCAAGAGTTGTGAGACAGTGCTTTAAGACAAAAATCTGTGCGCGTCAGCAAGGGCTGCAGAGTTCTGAGACCTTAGTATTAGCTAGCGCAGCAGCATAAGCATTTTAAATACAGTGGCCCTTCTGATAATGAAGTGCGAAAGCTGGAATATAGATGTATACTCGAGTGACCTAATTTTATTTTAAAAAATAGGTCAACAGCAGGATTGCAAGTACAATCAATGGCAAAACTCAGTTTTAATAGTAGTCTCATTAAGTTCTGGCAACATATTCATAGGAAAAAAGAGTCCTTCTACCATGGAAGACAGTGTATCTATAGCTGAAGAGAAACTGAGGCAGCAATACCAGAAATGTAAGAAGCCTATTACAACCACTGAATGATTAATACACTACAAGTATGTTGGATAATATCTAGACAGTCAGTTTGAGGAGTTGAAGAGCACAAGTTTGCAGCTGCAGCCTCTTCAGAGAGCTGATATCCTACCTCACCTGGCCCCTGCAGTGAAAGAGGAATTCACCTGGGTTGTGACTCACACTGCACATAGAAAGAGGATAGAATCAATAACCTCAAACATGCGAATTTGAAGTCAGGTCAGGATTTGCTATTTACTTACCCTGAATGCTTACTTTTATGAAGTGTGATAGACTTGTCAGTGAGCTAATTGTAGACTGCCCTCAAAATTTGACTGACAAAGTACAGGATTGTCCAAAAGCATTATTATAAAGGATTGAAAATAATTAGACCAATGGTTTGAATACCTATATCTAACCAAGTGAATCAAGTGGAAACCTGATGCAGGTACAGGACTGATGATGCATGGACATGTACAGAGACACCAGTCATCGAAAGATCAAACCTAGGGTCTTCTGGACCAGATAATGTTTGACAAGAGGACTCCCTTAGTTTTATAGGGGAAGGGTAGAAATTCACTGCAGCTAAACACTTGAAGAGGTCAGTATCACCTACCCTACACCAATGAATTAGAATAAAAAAGAAGACAGAAAAATGTTACCCACCTGTGAGATGCATTCTCCATTTACAGAGCTTGTCTCCTTTGACTTACGTTTACTCATTGCAGTAATTCACATCTTAAATAAAAAAAGGAAGATTCTCTAAGTTTTGCTTTTTGTTCAACTGTATACTTATCAAAAAGAGCAATTTGAGATGTTAGCATACTGCGCTTAATATAATACCAAATCAATATTAATGGCAATGTTTACACACACAAACAATTGAATTTGAGTAGTCAAGTTTTTCATACGTGATAAACAGGCAAACATTTTTGGTTACAGCATATTACTGGAACAAACTACTAATACTGAAAGAAAGTCTTGCACCACGCCAGCTTAGACGAAGGCTTTGTCCACACACACAAGCTGTATTGCTATAACTGTATTAACATAGTTATACCAATGTTAAACACTTTATGCTGGTATAACTGTCCATACTTTGGGGTTGTATTGGTATAGCTTATTCCTATATATATAGGAATAAGTGATACCACTATAAAGAATCTTTCTACAAATATAATTGTCCACCCTAGGACACTGCACTAGCATAACTACATCTGCTTAAAAAGAAGTCATACCACTGACAGTTATACTGGTACAAAACTGGTGTTTAGACCAGGCTAAAGCTTCCTACCAGGAGCCCAGCAAGCAATTCCATACTAATGAAAAGTAAGGCACCTAGTTGCAATGAAAGACTGAGTTCAACCCACAGCAAAGTGAAAAAACTACAGTCCAGAAAAGTGACTCTCAGGTCTTGGCTACACTTGCAAGTTAGAGCGCATTAAATCAGCCCCGGGCGCCCTAACTCTTGAGGTGTCCGCACTGGCAAGGCACTTAGAGCAACTGGACTGTGCAGCTGGTAATCTACCTCCACGAGAAGCATAGAGCTTGTTGCACCCTGCCTGAAATGCCGAGGCGTCAGTGTGGACAACCTGTTGCATTACTGCGCTGTGATTTGCCTCCAGAAACGTCCCATAATTCCTTGAAGTGGCCACTCTGGTCATTGTTTTGAACTCTGCTGCAGGCATGCAGATATCCCCTTTCAAAGCTCCGTTTCTGACAGCCAGCATGCTTATCTGCTCTGGGACAAAGCAAACCATTACTGTGGAATGCTCCTGCTGCAGAGGCAGGCGTTTGTGCACGTGTGAGAGACAGAGAGGGGTGTGGGCTGATGTTGGGGTTTCCCCCTTCCTCCTGCCGCTGTCTGAACTTACAAGACAGCATGCTGACGCACGCTGCCCCCCCAAAACACACTGTCTCTCGCCCCACATACTCAACACAATCCGTCACACTCCACCCCCCCGCCCTCCATTTGGGAGGCACCCTGCAGCGACTTGCACACTGGGATAGCCACCACAAGACACTGCTCTCTGGGGCGTTGCAAGAGCTGCTAATGTGGCCGCGCTAATCCACTTGCATCTGACAGTGTAAACACACGGCAACGCTTTCCCTGCTGCAGTCTCTGAGGGCTGGTTTCACTCCCAGCGCTCTACATCTGCAAGTGTAGCCATGCCCTCAGTGAGGAAGGCTTCAGTAGTAGTCGGATAGTGACAAAAAGGTATGCAAACTCCCCACCCCACCCCCAAAAAAACAACCCCTAGAAGAGCTAACAGTTATGGTTATGTTTCAATGACCAATTTTTAAACCAAAGAAACCAATTGAAGAATATTTTTTTCTTCTAGAGAATAAGGTCAGTTTCTAGCTTCACAGGCAGTTACACAACATCTATAAGTAAGGATTATTTTTAAACCACAGAAGCTAGAACAGCTTCATCAAAACCTGTCAGCAGAGATATGCCACATAATAGATAAAAGTTGTGTGGAAGAATAAACACAAAACTGTAAAAGGTGACATGCAGTTTTTTCCTTTCAGCGATCTCTGAATCTTAATTAGCAAGTACGATCCAGAACCTTACAGGGATAACCTAGGACAATCCATTTAGATAAATTTTACAAGCCTCAGGCTTTTTTTCCCCTGACTCCATGAAGTAAACAAAACAACATGCAACAGAAGTTCACAGAAGCCTTTGTGGCCCTTGTAACATCGAGGAAGTGAAGGCTTCTTACTGTCAGAAGGCGATTTACATAATATACACTTCAGATTATGACAGGAACTGGAAGGGCATTGTCAACAGAGAAAGGAATAGTAAACAAAGTGTTCTTATCCTTATGAAGGGGAATAAATGGGCCAGGACTTTCAGCATAGAGATGGAGACTGCAGCAATTATAAGATTCTGTGTAAGAGTGTGTTTTATCAGGAAGGCACTCCTGTCTCTGATCTTCCAGGGGCAAGTAGGAAGGAAGTGTATCCTTTAATTGATGTGCTATTCCTTGGTATGGCTTACACAGTTTCAGGAGCAGAGGAATTTATCCAAAAAAGATTCTGATTCACATTTGTCTATAGTTTTGGCATAACCAGAACAGCAGTAAAACAAGCTAGCTGTCAAGCAATGCCCAGCTAGATAGTGAGCATCAAACTTAGGCTGTCTTCTCAGTGCTGATCTTGGACTCCTCCTGTGTTGAAGACCTGAACATCTCCCTACAATGAAATCACATCATTTGACACTACAGAGAGAGGAAAAGTCATACCTAAATCCTGAAATGTCTATTACAACTCCTTTAATGTTTTAAGAGATAAGGTGAGGGAGACACTATTTTTTATTGGACCAACTTCTGTTGGTGAAAGACAAGCCTTCCAGCTCTGGGAAAAGTACTCAGACTGTCAACTAAATACAAGGCAGAACAGATTGTTTAGTATAACTAGTTAACACACATTTTAAGAGTATTCAAGGTGAAGTGACCTGTTAACACCTAGCCAGTCATAGGACAAAATGCGGGGGGATTGTAGATTACAGATTGTTGTAGTAAACCAGACACTGGATTTATTTTAAGACTGATTTTAGAGTCTAGCAAAGTTATGTATTTAAGCTCTTAGGCTTGTCTTTTGAAGGTGTTGTGCAGGTTTCCTTTGAGAATGAACACAGATCAGATATGGAGTGACTTGTGAGAAGTGTTTGCTCAGGACATTATTTCAAGGCTAGAGAAAAAAGTCAGCCCCATTTTAACAGATTTTAAAACCTACAATGACCTTAGAATATAGAATCTTATAGTGTAAAAAGTGAATTGAAATCTAAGGCTTTAAAGTCTGTACTGTAGCCATAGTGGCACAGCTATAACACTGCAGCTGCACTGCCGCAAGGTCTCCTATGCAGCCACTCTATGCTGGAGGGAGAGAGCTCTCCTGCCAACATAATTTAACCAAGTCCAACAAATGGCAGTAGCTATGTTGGCTACTGCGCATTTGTCGTTATTTTCCACACACACACACACACACACACACACACCCCCAATCAACAAAAAGTTTCGCCAACAAAAGTGTTCCTATAGATAAAACTTAAGACTAGCTTTAACTCTAAACTAGTATACCAAAGGATTAAAATTATGCCGGACAACCACTGATCTGTAAGCTGCTTTATAAGCTTCAGTAACAGTGAGGTATTAGCTTACTTGAGCTTGAGACAGCCTCTACCCTACTGCACATGCATCTGTTGCAAGCCACAGTGTTTGCAGGCAGCCTGACTTCAGACATGCTGTGGATGCTGAACCTGAGCTCAGCCCATGTACCACAAGTTTGAATCTTGCTGGTGGCAGCTCTGAGAATGTGCGTTGCACACATTAGGAAAGATGGACAAAACAATTAAGTGAAATGTTTTGTTTTTTAAAAATCAGAACACACCACTTGGCTGAAACCTAAAGTATTCATGGGAAAGAGCTGCTTTCAACAAATCTCAGAATGAGAAATTTTTAAAAAAGTTTCTATAATGAAATATCCCACTGACATTTTGAAAATGAAATGTTTTGGTCTGACATGGCTGTGTTTAGGAATTTGAGTTAATTTGTACTAAGAGGGGGCCAGGAGAGAGATATGGTCAAAATGAAATGTTTAGATCCAAAGAGTCTTTCAGATTGTCAGTTCATGAAAATTTGACATTTCCTTTCTTGATTCTGGATAAAAAGTCAGTTTTCAAAAATTGTGAAAATTTTTGGACAAAAAAAGTTTCCCCACGCATCTATAGACATTAGTTGCTCTCTGTCTCCATTCTTTAGGGGCTCCCTCTTGAGTTTTTGCTCTAAGAGCAAAGCTTTGTTTTAAGAGTCAATAAAACAGGGGTCAGCAATCAGCGGCAGGCGTGCCCAAAGGCAGCACACGAGCTGATTCAGTGGCATACTGATGCTGGCTTGGGGTTCCAGCTGGGGTCCCAGGCGCTGGCTCCACTCAACCTGCTGCTGGCCTGGGGTACCAGCTGCTGGCCCCCTGCCAGATGGGGTTCCGTCCTACCAGCCCCACTTGACCTGCTGCTGGCCTGGGGTCCTGGCCGAGGCCCAGGACTCTGCTCCTGGCCTCAGCCTGGCGCTCTGCAGCCACCCCTAGCTGTGGCCCACAGCACAGCACCCCACCTTAAAAACTGTTCCAGCGCTACTGGGATATTTTTAACTCCTGAATTGCTGCTTATACCATGCTACGTGGAACAGCGCATGGTGTTTGAAGTTGTGCGTGCCATCTGTCACAATTTTTTCCCCCTGTTGTGAGTTAAGGAGTACATTTGACAATGTCAGCTCCTAAGAAAGCAAAGTTAGATATCTGTTCATTTCCACCTTTTTGGACAGACATTTGGATTTATTCAAAAGAAGGAGTAGGCTGTTTGTGCTTTCTGTTGTGAAAGTGTTTGTTGCACATCAAGTGTTTGATAGCATTTTGAAATGAAACACAAGAAAACCTCTTGATGAAAGAGAGAAGACTAATCGATCAAAAAGGCAGTAAGAGGATATGAGAAGCAAAAGCATTCTTTTTAAATGCTTAAGTTAAAAAATCAAAACTACAGAAGGAAGGGAGTTACAATATTGCACAGTGAACAGCAAAAACCGGAAAGCCATTTACAGATCGGGAATATATAGAAAGTTTCTCTTAGCAGTTTGGAGGTTTTGTTCAACGAATTGCCAAATAAAGATACAATTGTATCTAGAATAAAAACTGCTTGTCTCTGCCAGAACAGTTGAGAGACACAAGCGAAATGGTAG